GAAGAAGAAACAGGTATAAAGATTGGAAAGGAAGAAAAAACCCATAGTTATTAAATATGGCATAATTGTATATATAAATCTAACATTATCTATGGATATATTATTTGAATTAATTAATTTAGCAAAATTGCTGGATCTCAAATGGAAAATATCAATTGCATTTCCATATTAACAGCAAAAAAGAGAAAATAAAAGTCTTTTAAAAACATTTTAAATAATATCAAGTTACATGTGGTACATGGAATGAAACTAACAGAATCTCTTCAATTTATAAATCATTTTTGGGAGAAGAGAAGGAGTAAACAAATGGAAGGATATACCATATTCATGGACTTTCCAGGCATTACTGGAAAGATAATACCAAAGAAATTCCAACAGCTTTTTTTTTTTCATTATTTTGATTCTATAATATTTAAAGTCTCTTTCTTAGAGAAGAAAACAAAAACAAAAATGATGGGGCACTTGCTGGGCCATATTCTGAGGCCTATATTACAAGAACATAGAAATTAAGTCAAGGATAAAAAAGAAATCAGTGGAATAAAATGGAGAATTGAGAACAGACTAAATTGAGAACAGAATAAAATAGAGAATTGAGAATGAACACTTGGGGCTGGGGATGTGGCTCAAGCGGTAGTGCGCTCGCCTGGCATGCGTGCGGCCCGGGTTGGATCCTCAGCACCACATACAAACAAAGATGTTGTGTCCGCCGAAAACTAAAAAATAAATATTAAAAAAAAGAAGAGAATGAACACTTGATTTATTTAATGATGGAATTTTAAAACAGTAGAATAGAATCACATTAATCTCATTAAATGGGGCTGAATAGTTGAATATAGAAAATATGAAAATTGACCCTTATTGCACACCATTCACAAAATCAATCTAGGTAAGTTGAAGATCCCAAAGATATTTTGCTTTAGGATCTTCTGGAATTGGAAAATATCTTTGTGATATTGGGGTAGAGTAAGATTTCTTAACTGGCCATAAAAAAGCACGAATCAAAAAGGAGATGATTGATAAAYTGCATTATTTTAAAATCACACACACTTTTTTTTAAATCAATGACACTTTTTAAGAAACTGAAAGGGCAGTCTATCTAGTAGAGACAATATTTGCAATATGCATAACTGAGAATATAAAATACTTGCTTCTAATTAAAAATAATTGTCAATCCAATTAAAAATAGACATGTGACAAAAGAAGTAATCTGAACTGGCCATGAAATGCCCTCAATATCACTCTTAATGAGGGATATGTAAGCTAGAATCAGTGAGATTTGACTAAATACTCATCGGAGTGCTTTGATAAAAAGGACTTGTCATAGCAAGAACTGGGGAGAATGCGGATCAGTGATTGGACTCTTACAGAACTGGTGGGATTATACATTGGTGGGGTTACTTTGGAACACAGTTTGACATTATCTACTGAAGTAGGGAAACACATACCTTATATTCTGCAATTCTAATTCCAGGTATGTAGCCAACAGAAAACCATGCCAATACTAAGAGACAAACATAATGCTTATGGAAGTAATTTCCAAAATAGCCCCAAATTACCAATTACCAATTACCAATTACCATTTCCTCATTAAAAGCAGAATAGCTAATTAAAAAGAGAACAAAATAAAGAAAAAGAAAAATTACGCTGTACTGCAGAGATCTGCATTAAAAACCAAAGAAAAAGAGGTAAAATTATTTAAAAAAGCAGAATAGCTAAATCAATTTTCATATTCATAGTCTAGAACAATACAAGAAATACATTTACATTTCACAACATAGATGGACTTCACCAATAGTACATTGAATGAAAGAAAGAAGAACTAACAAAATCTTTCACTGCATGATTTCATTTGTCTGAAGTCCTGAAAACCTAACTATAAGAGGCAAAACCTAAATAGTGTTTAGAGCTGCACGTATGTGTGAAAAATCAAGGAAGTGTTTACACTTAAAGCCAGGAGAATGGTTACCTTGAGGGAGGTGTGGAATAATGTTTGGGAAAAATCAGCAGGAAGACTTCTAGCGTGCTCAGAGTGGTCTATTCTAGACTGGAGGGGCTGTTACACAGATGCTCACTCTGTAATAATTCATGGAGCCGAATCTTAGGATTTGTGCCCCCCACCCTTTTTTTGGTATATTTATTATATTTTAAAAGAAACTTAGATGAAAGTGGATGGAAGTGTATCTGCAGATGAGCCAAATGGACAAAAGGGTAGCTCAGAACATGAGCACCAAAGGGTCTGCAGTGAAGCTTTTAAAAAATGTTCTATGTCCAGAATTATTTGTGTGAGCTGAGTGGTCTTGCAGCCTGCTGACTTTCTTCATGTTAGGTATCCTCACAGAGATACCATTGAAAGTTGACAGCACAAAAACATAAATATTAATTATATAGTTAAAGTTTAAGAGGTCAAAGTCAAAAACAATTTAAAATTATTAGTACTGGGAGAAATAAGGGGAGGCTGAAATAAAATCTACATTATTCATAAGAGGGAGAATTAATGTTATTTAATGATGAAACAAGAAAGTAGAAGCAAATTATAGTTGCATGTCATTTAACAATGGGATATATTCTTAGAAATGTGTCATAAGTTGATTTTGTTGTGTGAATGTCATTGAGTGTGTTTATACAAACCTAGATGGTCTAGCCTACTGCACACCCAGGCTCTATGGTATAGCCTATTGTCCCACAGGGGTGCGCACAGTCCATTGTTGACCAAAATGTCATTACGTGGCACATAACTGCATTTAGAGATATGGTGGAAACCATTAGAAAAATTAGAAATGATCTTTTAAATGGTGGCTTCTGGTGAGGAATGTGGAGAAGACTGCTTTCCACTAGTTCCTTTGCTTTTTGTGTGAATTACTTTGAAAAATCTAGTAAGACAGTTATGAGCTTCCAGGATGTATTATTCTCATCTACTTGAATTAGGAATTGCTTTTTGAGTTTGTGGCATTATGAATAACCCAAGAATAATGTCTACAGTCTGTCTTATCTATGCTGCAGCCGATAGTGACCACTGTTTCCAAATTACTCACAGGAATTATAGCTGTATCACTGCTTAATTATTACAGAGCTTCTCAATTATGATTTTATAATTACTTTCTTATAATTACTTTCTTCTTAACTTTATTTATAGAGACATTTTAATTAGAAACAAGCAGGTTTACAGTTACATTGTACATTCCACGGACAAGTGGAAAGTTATGAACATCTGAAAAACAACTAGTTTTATCAAATTGAAAGTAGACTAATCAGTCACCAGGCATGGTGGTGCACACTTTATCCCAGTGGCTTGGGAGGCTGACGCAGGAGGATTGCAAGTTCAAAGTCAGCCTCACCACTTTAGTGGGGCCCTAAGCAACTTGGTGAGACCCTATCTCTAAATAAAATACAAAAAAATGAAGGGGCAGGGGAGGAGCCTGGGGCTGTGGTTCGGTGGTTAAGTGCCCTGAGTTCAATCTCCAGTATCCCCCACAAATAGACTACTCAATGCTAAAAGTGAAATTTCTAAAAGCATTCATTTATTACCCTGCCTGAGGCATTATTTCTTAAACAATGAAATAAAGGTAGCTTTGTTTCTTATAAACATTGCCTTTTGGGTGAAGAGCTGAAAAAAAAAATCCAAGAGTCATCTTTTAAATGTAAAATTTAGCTATTGAAAAATTGACTATAACTTCTTTTCCTTTTAAAACTATAATTTCTGAGATCTTTAAAAGGCATTTCACTATTTCTGTTCATAAAATGTTTATTAATACCCTCTCTTTAAAAAACTCTGAAAACAATTTTTCTATATCTTTCAGGGTTTCTTTTTTTCCCCTCAAAATCTAGATACCCCAATGCATACTATCTGCTAAGTATTTTAGAGCTAAGAACCTCTGAGAAAGGATCCTATAGGTTTTTTTTTTTATCACACAGCAATCTTATATATTATTTCACATAGAGGAGGTCAAAAAAGCATGTCATACTGAATCATATTAAGTATTAGAATATATCATGTGATATCATTATAATAGGAGTAGCTCAACCTTGAGTGAAAAGAACAGCTTATGATGTAAGACTGATCAATCACATATACCATATAATTAAAAGTAACTGTTCTGTCAGATGTGTTTGTGTGACCAAATGAAGTCTTTCCATCTATTCTGTATGCACTGGTGTCTATTCTGCCACACACTGTGCTGGGTTCCTATGCCCACAAAGATGGACAAGATCCCCCCCCCCCCCCCCCCCGAAGCCACTCCAGCCAAGTGGAGACAGCTGACCAGTGAGTGGAGTTACAAAATGATGTGCCCCGGACTTGGACAGGTCTAAGTTTTCTTTCCCTTTCACTATTTGAGTGTTGGGGGTGTCTTGGCATTGAGGAATAGAGTTGAAGGCTTTTCAACACAACAATTAGCAAGAGAGGTGTTCATTTACCTCGTAGAAAGAATCTGATTTAGGCCTTTGTGCTGAAACACAGAAAATCATTCTGTGCTAGGAGACCTCAGGGAACTCCTCCAGGATGTGGGGCCCTCAGAAGTGGAGCGCTGACCCCAGGGGAGGCACGAGGAGTGGGGCGGCGGGTAGAGACAGGAGCAGGAAGGGGACTCCTAGACCTCTATAGGGGCTGATTCTACATGGATTGAAAGGTGACTTGGTGGGAAAAAATCAAAGGCAGCTTATCTGCATGATCGGCCTACTTTAAGACTTTGCTACCTTCTTAGATGCTGGGGACATGAACTGTCATTACTGTGGTGCAAGTGTTCACAGCATCCCATAGGGACCCACGGGATGAGAAAAGGAGGGACTGCCCAGCTCAGGCTGCACAACAGATGTGAGAGAACCATAAAGACAGAAGGAGATATTTAGGAATGCGAATGGTTCAGCGAGGCTCAGCACAGACTGTGCATCCAAAGAAGCCTTCACATTCGGTAACAATAAATTATCGACTCTTTTTACCTTGGGCAGATTTGGGGCCAGGAAGTGCAACTCAGTGTTGAGCAAAATAATTTCCCTTTGAGGATGAAGAAAAAAAGAAAAGGTGGGCTGCGATGTTCTCAGGGATACCAGCCACTGGGGACAGAGACTTGTAGTATTCGTCTTCCCCATCCAGCACTTTGAGATGGCTGCAACAAAGAAATGAAGAGGATTTTTCATCAGAAAAAGCAAACAAATGGCATAGTCTTCCCGGAGGCAGCAAAGTTGTGTGAGAAGTTGGAATGGGATTGGGTTCCAACACTGGAGGGGAGGGCACTTAGGTATCACAAGGTCTCACAGCACAGAGGTAGGGGGCTCTGTTTCTGGGTCACATACTGACAAGGGGTCCATTTTAGTATTATCTAGATGTTGTGATCATCTTGAAACTTGATTTATGTAATTAAACTGCTTATTTTCATCTGGTTTCTTCTAGATGAAAAAATGCTCCTCCTGATCTCACCCAGTTCTCAAAACAGTACCGGTTATCTACTTCCCTGCGATTCTCAGTAGAGATGCTAACAACAGATGAGCTACAAGCTAACTTCTTACTGTCCTCTCTTTCTCCATTGGGGGAAATTTTCTTTTGTGCATGTTTTAAGGCCCAGGGTAGGATAATGCGAGCAGGAAGCAGCCCATTTGCACTCAGAAGAATCCTCTTATTTGTGGAAAGAGAATTTAATACAACCCGATACCTGTCTTCAATTATGAAGAAAGCACAATTCCCTAGAATAATTAGGAGAAATAACATTTGCCCTTAGGTGACAATCTCAGCCTTTCCGGACAAAATAGATTCAAGTTTTGTATACTTGCTACTGTGAAAAGTCATTTCCAATGTCAATAACAGTGGCAATATCCGGATTGAATATTTTTAGAAGCCTCTCTGGAAAGTTTTGCCTTTTCTGTAATATCACAAAGGACCCCTTCTGTTTACAGTTGCTTAGAACTAAGAAGACAGATATTTACCCAAGTTTTCTTGGCTTCCTCTTGCTCCCTTGATATTCTAGAGTTCCCTGTGGAGAGGGCCAAGAACACACAGTCAAAGCAAAGCAGCAAGTCGTTAATTTTTAATTCAAAGTGATTTTGTGTTGAATGCAAGCAGATGCTGATAATATCAGAAGTCACAGCATAATTTTTTTGATCAAAGGGCTCAAGTGAGCCTGATGAAGCATGCATCTTGCTCGTCTTTGATAAACCACATCAATTATTCACCGTGAAGGCAGACATCCTGACATGAAAGCAACAGATAAAGAGCCTAAGCACATGTTCACGAGGAGAGTATAAGAGAGTGGGGGTGGGGCTGGAGGGGCTGGAACAGGTATTAATAACAGAATTATTAACTGGAAACAAAGCCAGCAAAGCAGCTTTATGGCCACTTTGAACTCACATTTAACTGGTTATAGTACATGGTGTCCTCAGGGCTACTCAACATTTTGGGCTGCTGATAGCGTCGGCGAGGTGTTCGCTGCTTCTGTGCAAGACCATCTTCTGAACCTGCAATCAGACAGCAACATTTGACTGTAAGCCATCCCAGGTGTGGGGAGAATTAAGTGAAAAATGGCTTTTCAGACAAATGCACTCAGGAGGAGCCGAGACCTGTTTTAATGGGTGGGGGAGCTTTGCAACAACTAGGAGAAATGTCATCTGAAAAGCACACGCTCAGGAATCGCTAAGTGTAAACACGGGCTGCAGTCTGTAACTTTGCCTTCATATTTCCGATCTGAATCAGCAGTCTGGCGTGACAGAAAGCAAATTGGTGTGTCCTTACTGGTGAGGGAGAGGTTGGTGGTCAGCCTCTGCCAAGGAGAGCGCCTTGGGTGCGATAACTCCATTAGGACGACCAAGGCAATCTGGGATTGTTTGCAACACATCCTGCAGTGAGAGTTCAAAGACATCTGGAGCACACATACTCTTGGGAAGATGAGAAGCAAATCTTTTGGTGGGATACACTTTGGGGGAAAATAGCTTGAGCTAGTATTTACCAAAGTGCTTTGAACACTACCACTGATCCATGCAGTTTCTGTAGAATGTGTCTAGGAGGGGAAGGAGGGTGATCCCATGTCATGGAGCAGCCTCTCCCTGTTAGTCTTGATTTAAGAACCCTGGACCAAGAGTGCACTGGAGATTAGGAAACCACGTGTCAGATGAACTTCTGATTTATTCCCCTCCCAAGGGAATGAGTTTTGTGGACTCTGCTGCCCTTTTGGTCGTATATCTGAATCCAGATCCAGCAACACTCACACTCACAGCTACTGTCACAGAACATTGTCTGCGGGCATCCTAGTGCGGTAAGGAAGAGAGTGTTTCCTGAACAGGGTGTTTATGATGAACTAATTGTTCATCAAAAAGAGTTAGAGATCTGTATTTTGAATCTTCTTTTAAGCTTCAATAGAGATTTTCATTCCTGAAGGAAATTCTGGGGGATTCTTTTCCCTGTACATTTTACATACTCTGTTTTGGAATTTAAATTTATTTTTAATAGTTACAAAAAAACCATTAAAATTTATATATTAATGGGGTACCATGGGCTGTTTCCGTACTTGCATATACACCATGTAATGTTTCCATCTGGTTAAACATATCTATCTCTTCATTTATCATTTCTTTTTCTTTATGGTGTAAAGAGTCAACTTTGTTTCTTCTAGCTTTATGAAATGTACAGTAGATTACTGTTACCTATAGTCCTCCAACTGTGGGATGGCAAATCAGAACATCTTACTCCTAACTATAACTCAGTACCCATTGATCAACCTTTTACCATCTTTGACTCCCTGCTATTCTTCCCAGCCTCTGGTAACCAAGATTCTACTCTCAGCTTCAATGAGATCAACATTTTTATATTCTGCATATGAGTGAGATCATGCAGTACCTGTCTTTCTCTTCCTGACTTATTTCACTTAGCACAATCATCTCCAGTTGCATCTGTGTTGTTGCAAATGACAGAATTTCATTCTTTGTTATGACTAAACAGTATTCCAAGGTGACTATGTACCTCTCCTTCCTCTTCCTTTTATCCCTTCTTTTCTTGGAGATTGAAAAAAGGACCTTTCACATACTAGATAACTGCTCTACTACCGAGCTACATCTGCAGCCCTTTTTTATTTTGAGACAGGGTCTAAGTTGTTCTCTGATCTTGAATTTGCAATCCTCCTGCCTCGGCCTCCTGAGTTGCTGGGATTACAATTATGAGCCCTGGCACCTGGCCTCCACATCTTCTTTATCTAATCATCAGTTGGTGAGATGCTCAGGTTGTTTCCGTTTCTTGGTTTAATGAATAGTGTTACCATGAACATGGGAGGGTAGATGTCTCTTCAACATACTCATTCCACTTCTTTTGGGTAAATAATAGGATTACTGAATCACATGGTAGTTCTATTTTTAATTTTTTGAGGAACCTCCATACTCTTTTCCAAAATGACCACATTAATTTATATTCCTACAAATAATGTATTAGTGTTTCTTTCTTCCCACATCCTCAACAGCACTTGTTATCTTTTTAGGAAGAGCCATTCTTGGCAGGGCAGAAACACATGCTTGTAATCCTAGAGTTTGGGGAGGCTTGAAGCAGGAGGATCACAAGTTCAAGGCCAGTTTCAGCAACTTAGTGAGACCTTGCTTAAAAAATAAAAAATAAATAAATAAAAAGGGCTGTGGATGTGTACTCAGTGTTAGAGCACCCCTGGGCTCAATCTCAGTATTGCCAAAAAACCCAAACCCAAAACCAAAACATAATAAAAATCTCAAAGAATAACCATTCTTACTTGAATGAAGTGATATCTCATTGTGGTTTTAATTTGCATTTCTCTTATGATTGGTAATGTTGATTTAGTTTTTTATATACCTGGTGACCTTTTCTATATCTTCTTTTGAGAAATGTCTATTTGAATCTATTGCCCATTTTAAAATCGGGTTTGTGAGGTTTTTTTTTTTTTTTTTTTTTTTTTTTTTTTGAGTGTTTTGAGTTCCTTATATATTTCAGACACTAATCCCTTGTCAGATGTATAGTTTGCAAGTATTTTCTCCCATTATGTAGGTGGTATCTTTGCTTGGCTGATTGTTTCCTTTGCTGAACTGTAGCTTTTTAGTTTGCTTAATCTCATTTGTCTATTTTTGCTTTTTTTTTTTCTTCCTAGAGTTTTATTCAAAAAATCTTACACATTCCACTGTCCTGAAGCATTGTTTTCATGTTTGGGGGAATTTTTTAAATAGAGAGCTATTAGGCAAGGACCATAGGAAATAGCAAATTATCTGTTTTCTAAATGAAGTTTTTTTTKGGGGGGGGTATGGAGATTAAACTCAGAGGCACTCAATCACTGAGTCTGAGCCACATCCCCAGCCCTATTTTGTACTTTAYTTAGAGACAGGGTCTCACTGAGTTGCTTAGCACCTTGCTGTTGCTGAGGTAGGCTTTGAACTTGTGATCTCCTGCCTCAGCCTCCCAAGCCACAGGGATTACAGACATGCACTACCATGCCAGGTTAGTATAAAGTTTTGTATCTTGATTTTTCTTGAATTGTATAAGAGTGTGTGTGTGTGTGTGTGTAATGAACATACAATTATATATAATATACATAATTATATATATATTTGGACAACATTAATCCTTGATTTTCTTGAATTTGAACATATCTGTGTCTGGAAAAGACAACAGATTTTAAAAGCTGTTCATCTGACTACTCATTTTCTTTTTCGACAGAAAGACTGAGGCTCATAAATGTTGAATGACTCATTTTAGATCAAGTGGCAAGGTGAAGACCCAACCCTAGATCTCTTACACCTCATGTATGTGTTTGTGTGTGTGTGTGTGTGTGTGTGTGTGTGTGTGTGTTTAACCTCAGCCTATTGTCTTACAAGAAACTTTTAAAGCCAAAAGTCTAAACAGAAGCTCCATGAAAACATATTAATTAACATAGCAAACCCCCCTTGCTTTCCCAGAGTTTCCACAGCTTTCACAAACATTTCAGGAACACGATGCAGAGCCCGGTCTGTTGAAGTCTTTGTCAGAACTAATATGGGTTCCTTTTAATGGTTCCAACACATCTATTTCCTGTTAGCTTTGCAACATTCATATTCTGAAGGGTGGTAGTGTGGGAATAGGTGTGAGAACCCTTGTGTCGTCTCCTTTCTGATTTATAGATTAATGAACAGAAGTCTCCAGAGGTCGGGTTGCTGGTGTGAACAGGCACTAGAGGTCTGACATCTGCTCTTTCTTAGACCTTCCAATATTGCTGGAATTCTATCCATGGCAATTCAAAAGACTGATCCAAAATAGTTTTTGGGTTCAGCTGGAGTTCAGCCCAGTTCAGCTGGACTTTATATAATGTTTACACTTGATCAGAGGTTTTTATTTATATTCTTTCAAGTGGCAAAGTTGAATATAAGATGTGGTTCTCAACTTTTGCTCTGGATGACTTTACTCTTCCCATGGGCTAGTATTCTCCTGATTGTTGGAAGGAATTAAGTTATTGGCTAGAATTTTATCAATTCTAAGACATCTCACATATATTAAAAAGAACTATTGTGATCATATGGCATTTACACTATACTAGAATCTGGCAAAACTGATTGCCTAGTTTAGCACTGGATTTTAATTTTAATTTTTTTTAAGTTCAATATCTCCATGGCACGACATTCTGCAAGGAGTGCTGCAACTTCTAGGTGCTTTGCCATTGGGAAAAAAAAATCTAAGTGTCACTGATACATGACCAATTTTAAGCAACCAAATAAATAATTGGAAAAAAGTTATTATGTAATAAATACTGTTGGGCTGGGCTTGGTGGTGCACACCTATAATCCCAGCGACCTGGGAGATTGAGGCAGGAGGATTGCAAGCTTAAGGCCAGCCTCAGYAACTCAATGAAGTCCTACGTAACTTAGTGAGACCCTGTCTCAAAATAAAAATATAAAAAGTGCTGGGGATGTGGCTCAGTAGATTAAAGTGCCTCTGGGTTCAATTCCCTGTACCAAAAATAAATAGATAAATAAATAAAATTAAAATAAATTAATTAAAAGAGTAAATACTGTTGGAACAATTTGATATTGGTATGAAAAATACATAAATTAAATTCAGATATGATAACACTTAATCCTATATGCAAGGTACTTTGCTGAATGTCGTGRGGGAAGACAAAGGGAAATAAGACAAAGTCCCTGCTTTCACTCTAGTAGAGGACCTCGAGTCTTGAGAAGGTAGCAGCTAGTGCTGCTGAACCCACATTAGTTGTTTAAAAAATTCTAAATCTTTATTTTTCTCAACGAACYTCTTGATTTTTACATGCTGCAAAAAATTTCAGATGAGCTCTACAGTTAAACATTTTAGACATTCCCATATAAACTTTAGAAAGAAAGAAAGACTATTTATTTCTACTGTGGAAGGAGATATTAGTGAAAAGGATGGGTTCAATTATATAAAGTCAAATATTCCAGATGATGAACAGTTGTACAACCAAAATAAAAGGAAATGCAACAGAAAGATAAAAACAATTAAAATAAAT